GGGGAGGGAGTGAGTGGGAGAAGTAACTCCGGTCACACTGTCCCCTGCTGTCCATCAGAGGAAGCTTCTCCTGCCACCATGTCCACCTGTGGACAGTGACTCACTACCAAAAACATCAGTGCTGTCGTTTGAGGTTCAGAGGGTGGTAATTTTTAATTAAAATTATTGGGTCAACATTGGTTAATAACATTAAATAAATTTCAGGTGTACAACTTTCTAATGCAATATCTATATACTCTATCGTGTGCTTTCCACCCTAAGTCTCGATCCTTCCATTACCTTGTATTTGACACCCCCTTTACCTTCTTCATCCTCCCCTCACCCCCCCGTGCAATGTATTTTTATTTTTCAGAGATACTGGGAAAATGAGAGACTCCTGAAAATGATACGCAAAGGATTACAGAGGACGAATGATGTTTAGAATCTTTAAAAAAAAAAACGTCCCTGGGGATAAAAGAAAGCACAAAGTTTCTGCCTTCCTCTCTGACCTACCAGCCCTGGTAACTGAGAACTGAAGTCAGGGAAAAGAAGACTCCAAATTAGTGAGTAACAGAGGCCTTTCTTCTTTCAGCGTAGGCTGCATCCATAGAAAGATGATTGAGAAAGAAATAATACAGTTACAAAAACACAAAACGACGTTGAGAGTTACATGCTTCAGTGGAAGGCCACACTAGTTAAGTGTATCATGTGATTATTTGAAAATAACATTCATTTTTTTCCTGATTATGAAAGTCATACATGTGCCTCGTAGAAAAATTTGAAAATACAGCTATGCTAGAATAAAAAGTAAAATAAAATTTCCCATAATCCTACCATTCTGATTGTACAGTTAATATTTTTACGGGTATTCTCGTTTCTTTTGTGTGTGTGAATGTAGTATAATTGGGATCATACTCTAACCTTTTCCACTTAATATATTGTGAACATTTTCCCAAGTCATTATTCATTCTCTTAAAAAATGTGTTTTTAAAGAGCTAAGTCATTATTTAACCAGTCCCTGTTCTAATAGTTCATTATAATAAAAAAGCGCTGTGATGAAACCCCTGTAAATAAATTTTTTTTTTATCCTCACCCAAGGACATTTTTGCATTTATCTTCAGATAGAGCCGGAGGGAGAGAGGGAGGAAGAGAGAGAGAGAAACATCGACGTGAGAGAGACACATCGCATGGTTGCCACCCACATGACCCCAACCGGGGCTGGGGATGAACTACAACCAAGGTACATGCCCTTAGAGGGAACCGAACCCGGGACAATCTGGTCCATGGGCCAACACTCTAACCACTGAACCAAACCAGCCAGGGCTGTAAATAGATCTTTGTACTCATTTGTGTGTGTGTGTGTGTGTGTGTGTGTGTGTGTGGTACGTGCCCCTAGCAGGAACCGAACCTGGGACTCTCTGGTCCACAGGCCGACGCTCAACTGCTGAGCCAAACTGGCCAGGGCTGTACTCATTTTTTTAAACTTCCAGACATGGAATAGTTAGAGCAAATGATGTATGTATGTGTGTGTGTGTGTGTGTGTGTGTGTGTGGTGTTTGTGTATATATGTATGTATATATTTTAACTTTTTGAGCTATATTGTCTTTCAGAAAGATGGTATTAATTTATATTACCAACAACACCGTCTATTTGTCAACCCTGCATATTATTGTTTCAGAAGTCCTTGACAAAGATGAACCCACTCTTTCTAAAAAAAGACTTTTAATGTCTTTGCTAGTGAGTATGAGCATTTAAAAAATATTCATTTGAATTTATTTTTTCATGGTGTATGGGTTCATCCATTTCTGCATTGGGGTGTTAGTGTTTTATGTATTGACTTATAAGATTTATATAGCAAATCAACCTTTGTCACAGTTGTTAAAAACATGTTCTCCAATTTGTCATTTCCCTTTTTGATGATATTTGATATGTCTAAGTCTTGCATATTTATTGAAATACATATATTCATCCTGACTTTGGTTTCTTCCTATATCTTAATATCTGGGCCTTCTCCTCTGAAATAATTGATCTATATATTTTTTGTTGTTTGTTTAGTGTTTTTGGGTTTGATAAAGTCAATTCATATACAGTAATCCCTCTCTTCTCCACAGGGGATATATTTATTATTTTTATTTATTTTTTATTATCGATTTTAGAGAGAGAGCAAGGGAGAGGGAGAGAGAGATAGAAACATCAATGAGAGAGAACATGAACTGGCCTCCTCCTGCATGCCCCCCATTGGGGTTTAGCCCACAACCTTGGCATGTGCCCTGATTGGGAATTGAACTATTTCTGGGACACTCAACCACTGAGCCACACTGGCTCGGCAACAGGGGATAGATTTTAAGAACCCTAGTGGGTGCCTGAAACTGCAGATAGTACTGAATCCTATAGAGATTGTTTTTTCCTATATATACATGCTTATGATAGTTTAACTTATAAATTAGGCACAGTAAAAGATGAACAATAATAACTAATACTAACATAGAACAATTATAATAATATACTGTAATAAAAGTTGTGTGAAGGTAGTCTCTCTCTCCCCAAGTATCTTATTGCACTGTACATACAGGGTGGCCACACTGGACAAAGGGATGATTCATCTCTTGGGCGGGATGGAGTGGGATAGCGTGAAATTCCATCATATTACTCAGAACAGTGAGCAATTGAAAACTTATAAATTGTTTACTTCTGGAATTTTCCATATAATATGTTCAGATTGTGTGTAACTGAACCCATGGAAAGCAAAACTGTGGATGAGGGGAGACTACTGTTCTGGGAGCCACAAAATGGAGGCCCCACCCATGTCACAAATCTAAACCTAAGGCAGCCTGAACTTACGGAAACACTTGTCAAGGAAAGCTAACACACCAATCACAGTCCTCCAACGCAGCTTCAGCCAGCTTATCTTACCCTGGAAAATAGGACCGGCTATCCTTATAAGGAAACCCCAATCTCCTAGGCAATCATGTGCTGCCTCTTCTAACATTCCATAAACCTGGCTCTGGCCCCAAATCCTGAGGGTAGAGTGCTCGTTACTAAATTGTTTTAGTGTTGTCATTTGACAGCGTCATATATTGATTTTGGTGATGGTTTAAATAGAAATTTTTTTCTTTATTGATTTTAGAGAGAGAGGAAGGGAGAGGGAGAGAAAGATAGAACCATCGTGCCCTGATCAGGGATCGAACCGGCGACCTCTTGGGGCATGGGTCAACACTCAACCACTGAGCCACACGGGCCGGGCTTGGTGATGGTTTAAATAAATTCTTAGTTGTGCGTTTCCCCCCGGAATTAACTTCCCCAGCCTAACTTATTGGAGAATGTATCCTTTTCCCCACAAAAGTGAAATGCCACATTTATCATACAGTTAATTTTAAAGTATGTTTCTAAGCTTTCAATTATTCCACTGATGCTTGTTCATCTATTCTTGTATCAACACCACACTGTTTCAACAATAGCTTTGCAATACGTTTTAAGATTTGGTTATATAGGTCTATCCCCCCATTTAAAAAATATCTTAGTTTTTCTCACAGATATTCTTCCATTTGAGGGTTAGAAAGTTATGTCATCTCTTCCCCATCCACCCACCACCATTAGAATTTTATTAAGAGTTAATTTGGGTGAAGTTGAAATTTTCATCTATTTCTTCAAGCTTTTCTTATGTTTCAACCTTTATTATGTATTCATTAAGAGTCTGCACTTATAGGATGTTTATTCCTAAGTATTTTACACGAGTTCATATATATAATTTATTTATTTATTTTACATTACAACTGCTGTTTAAGCTCCAACTGAAGCTTATCAAAGCTGACTTGAAACATTTTTCCGTGTGGGTATTTGCTTGCAGGAAACCAGGCAGAAACTAAAGGCTTTTTAGTAGCAGCTATTTATTGAGTGTTCCTTTTATACCTCGCCTGGCGATGATCCCATCACACGCATTGTCTCATTTAGTGATAGCTATCTCCAGCAGCTCGGTGCAATTTTTACTCCCATTTTACACATGAGGGTTCCCAGGCTTACAAAGCTGTGAGGAGCTTGGCAAGAATCACCCAGCTGGTAGGTGGATGTGAAACATGTCTGTGAATCTCCAAGAGTATCACAAAAAAAAGCAGCAGCCAGAGGACGCCAGTGCTGTGCCATCTGATGTGCTGATTCAAAGGAGAGCTTTTTTTGAAAACAATTCACTAATTTAAGAAGACAATGCCCTCCACCCACCGGGCCCCCCAAAAAGACTGTTTTTCCTTCAGTGTACGGGGAAGATCTGTACTTTGCAGTAGCACAGTAAATACCAGCTGATTTACTGAGCCTCCTTTAGAATTCGGGGCTCGTGGACAGTCAAGAGTGGCCCTTCTGGAGCTTTCAGAACTGTCCGTTTGGAAATTAGCCATGGTGGGACAGGTTCCCGCACCCCCACCCCACCCCCACCCCACCCCCATCCTCAGAGAAAAGAAGGAAGGAAGGGAATGAGAGAGAGAAATGAAGAGAACAGGTGGAACCGACGGAAGGTTTGCTAGAGCCGCGCTCGCGGGAGACAGAACTTTCTAGGGCATCCGGCCCGCGCGTTTCACGCGTGGTGCGCGCAGGTGGCGCCGCGGTCCGTGCGCCCCCCACGCTCCCCGCGTAGACCCGCGGGGTGCCCAGGAGGCCACCGGGAGTCTCCACCAAGGTGAGGGGAAGCTTTCCTCCCAGGCAGGGGAGGAGGGCAGGCAGGAAGCAGAGCCACCGCTGGCGAAAGAAAGACTCCAATTCCCAGCCCCCCACCCCGCGGGGTGCGGGGCTGGCAGCGCATGCGCACGGTCCGGCCCCCAATTCCCCTAGCGAGAGAGGGAGGCCCCCGGCGGCCCGGAGGCTGCGAGCCGCGGCGGGACCCGAGCGCACGCAGGGGCGCGGCGGCGCGGGGGCGAGCCGGGCTGCGGAGGCGGCCGTCGAGAGCGGGGAGCGCGGGGCGCGAGGGCTCGGCCGCGTGCGGGCACCGAGGGCCGCCGCCTCGGCCCTAAGAGGGGCTCGGTGCCCGCAGCCCCCCCACGTCCGGAGAGGGATGCGTGAGTTTCGCCCCGGCTCGAGGGCAGGATGTGGGAGCAGGACAAAGGCTGGGCGGCGGGGGAGGAGTTGGGAACGGCGAGCTGGTGGCTGCTGCCGGAGCCCCAGCCTCGGGCGAGCTAGCAGAGTCGGCAACTTTCTCTGCAACTTTTGCAAAAGGGAAGATAAAAATTCTGCAAGTTGTTGCACAGCTTCAGTTCTCCCCCCAGGTCCCACGCACAGAAGGGAAGGGACACCGCAACCTTCCCGGGACGGGAGGCGACCGCCAGCTCCGCCGAGGTGGGCAGGAGGGGCTACCGGCCGGGGCGAGCGAGGAGAGGGTGTGGGGTGCCGAGGGGGGGCGCGCTGCAGCCGCTGAGGTAGCTCGTGTCCACGCAGGGTGCGCCCTGGGATCCCGGTAGCCTCGGACCGCGGCGCTGCAGACGCAGGGATGGATGAGCCGTGGTGGGAAGGGCGCGTCGCCTCGGACGTCCACTGCACCCTGCGCGAGAAGGTCAGTCCCTCCCCGCCCTTGTCGCTCTCTGGGCTGGGTATTTAAAGTCCTTTCGCTCTCCACTCTGTTTGCTTAGGTCACCCCGCGGGGTAACTAGGAACTCCTGGTGCCTTTGCTCCTGCCCTGAGTCTGCTCCCGGAGAGTCCGGGGCAGAAAGGAGAGGGCAGAGCTTAAGTTGGTTTTTCTGATCAGGCGGCCAAAGCTCCTGGCCAGCTCAACCGAGACGGTCACTGTTCTCTTTAAGGTGGTATTTCCCATCGTATTGTCACCCGAGATTATTTTAAAAGGTGAATGGATGGACTTAAAAAGATTTTAATGTACAACTTAAAAACTTGTATCTAGCAAATTTTGCGTAGGATAAATGATGCTGATTTCCCATTTATTGTCACGATGTAGCAGCCCTTGCAGAGGCTGGATGGAGGAGGGCAAAGGGTGGGAAAATGGGGGACATCTGTAATACAGTCAACAGTAAAACAGAAAAAGAATTATACTAAAAAAGAAAGTTAAGTAAAAGTAATGCTTTAATATAAAGAACTATTAGATAAGGTATCATAGTTATAACCCCCTCCCACAATATCTCTAGGATGAGGGCTGAATAAACTTTAAGAAATACTGATCTCAATGAGAGGCTATAAATCTAAGAGGATTTGAGGAGAAAACAAACACCCCCCTGCCAGTTCGCCTCCGGTGGCAGAAGGTGGGGGCAGCTGAAATGTGATCCCTGTCTGTACTCCCTCACCTCTAAGGCAGAAGCGCTCAGGGAAAGTCCAGGTGGGCTGAAGGCAAGGCCTGTGTGTCTTGCCTGCTGCCCCTGGGACGGGTGGTTTGGGAACAGATGTGAAATAAAGGGTGTATGGTTTCCTAGGGTTGCTACGACAAACTAGCACAAATGAGAGGGCTTAAAACACTAGATATGTGCTCTCTCACATTTCTGGAGGCTAGAAGTCCCGTGGCCGGGCCATTTGAATCCTCAGTGTTCCTTTGCTTTGTAGATGCATCACTGCAGTGTCTTGACTGTTGTCACATGGCTTTCTGTGTGTATGTCTGTCTGTGTCTGTTTTGTCTCCTTAGAAGCACACCAGTCATTGGAATAGAGTCTACTTTAATCCAGCATGACCTCGTCTTAATTTAGCTAATTACTATACATCTGAAAAGACCCTATTTCCAAGTAAGGTCACATTCTGAGGTTCCAGATAGACATGAATTTGGGGGACACTATTCAACCCAGGAGTACAGGGAGGGAGAGGTCTTCTCAGTGGGATACCTGGATCCCTACACAGACAGGTCCCACATTCAGTGCGTTTGTACCCGATACCTGTGGAATTCTGCTTAAAAGGTTACCAGCTAGCCCTGGCTGGTTTGGCTCGGGTTAGAGCGTCGACCTGCAGACCGAAGGGTCTTGGTTTGATTCTGGTCAAGAGCACATACCTGGGTGGTAGGTTTGACCCTCAGCCCCAGTTGGGGTCGTATGGGAGACAAGCAGTCAATATGTCTCACAGTATTTGCCTCTCTCTCTCTCTCCCCTTCCATCTATCTAAAAATCAATGGAAAAAGATCCTTGAGTGAGGATTAACAAAAAACAAAAAACTCACCAGCTATTCAGGTTTTTTTCCTCATTTGGGAGTAGCTGTCTTTCTGCCAAATTATTATTATTATTTTTCTATACGTACTGGTCCATCTCTGTCTTACAGTGCTTTCCAAGACTGTAACTTTGCTTTGCTTCCCTTGGTCTTCTCCCTGGAGCATCATGGTCAAGGTACAGCATATTCTGGGCATCTGGAGAAGAAAGCTGGTCTTGGTGGTTCAGTTAAAAAGCAGGGGCAGGCCCTGGCCAGTTTGGCTCAGCGGTTAGAGCATCTGCCTGCGGTCCGGAGAGACCCGGGTTCGGTTCCCACTAAGGGCATGTACCTCGGTTGCAGTTTGTCCCTGGCCCTGGTTGGTCGTGCGGGTGGCAGCCACTCAATGTGTCCCTTTCACGTCGATGTTTCCCTCTCTCTCTTCCTCCCACTCTATCTGTGCAAAAAATGGAAAAATGTCCTCGGGTGAGGATTAAAAAAAAAAAAAAAAAAAAAGCAGGGGCAGTGGACGGTAGACCAGGCAGCCTTGGCCCTTTTCTGGAGGTGGGCTAAATGGGTTAGTGCGGGGCTGCCATGGAAATTGGGTTCTTGCTTATATGGGCTCAAGTGGTTGTCGGTTTTGCTCATAGCTCTGATGAAATGACTTTGACCTCCTTTGCCCCTTTCCAGCAGGAAGGATTTCTAAGAACAGATTAATTCAACCAGCTCAGTTACCTGAGAATCCTGCCTTTTATATGTGAGTGTGCTCTTATCTCTTCTCTAGCCACTCAAAGGAGCAGGGCAGGCAGGTCCCATTAATTGTGCCTCACCCATGCCGTAGTGCCAGATTAGTTCACTACCTGGAGGGAGGATAGGTTTGTTCAGCTTTTACAGGTTAGAAATAGAAAACTCACTTGGGTTGATGGTCAGGGTTACCTGTGATTTGAAGCTGATCTTACAGGGTAACTCTTGGATTTCTTTGGTTATAATGTCTTATCTCACCAGTATGCTGACTGTTTTTCTCCTTTATTTCTTCTCTCTGTTCAAAGAAGATGCTTCTTGAGAAAAATTGGCTTAATGGAGAAAAAAGTGAAGACCAGGGGGAACCCAGTATCCACACTAGCCTCACCTTTCTTAAGAAATGAGTGCTGCCCTGGCCGGTTTGGCTCGGCGGTTAGAGCGTCAGCCTGCGGTCCGGAGAGACCCGGGTTTGGTTCCCACTAAGGGCACCTACTTCGGTTGCAGTTTGTCCCCGGCCCTGGTTGGTCATGCAGGTGGCAGCCACTCGATGTGTCCCTTTCACATCGATGTTTCTCTCTCTCTCTCTCTTCCTCTCTCTCCCTCCCACTCTATCTGTACAAAAAATGGAAAAATGTCCTTGGGTGAGGATTAAAAAAAAAAAAAAAGAAAAGAAAAAAAGAAATGAGTGCTAACCTTTTTATTTCCAAAGTAATTTTTTTTTTTTAACTAAACAGCTACTCGAATAACACATTTCTAACACCGTGGAACAACTTTACAAGTGTCCTGCGCACAGTAAACACTGTTTGTTGAATGCTGCCAGATGAATACAGAGCCTGTTACCTTATTTGCTGTTGACTTGTCATGATTCAAACACCAGTAGTTATTTTCACTCGATTGTTGCAAGAAGTGAGGCTGGGATCATGAGGATAGTGGGAACCCCACTTTGTGGATGTGACATTCCAGTATAACATTATACTATAGTGTGTAAACTGTGACGCCGTGGAAACAAACCTTGGTGTTGGATGTACGCTAGTAATGGCAGTCAGACTCTGAGCTGCTTGTTTAACTTCTTTAACCCCCTTGAAACCTGGCCCCATCATTCATTCTTCTACAATAGCCAGAACTTAGATTGTGTCACCTGCCTGCTTAAAGACCTTCAAGTGTCATCACATTGTACTTACAAAAAAATTCCCAGTTCTTACCACCACCTGTAATACCTGACACAGTGGGCCCTGGTCTGCTCTCCTACCTTGTCTCCCACACTGACCCCCTTTCTCTTTCTTGAACAAGTCAAGCTCATTCGTGTCTCAGGGCCTTTGCACTGGCTGTCCCCTGTATTTGGAGTCCACTTTTCTCTATTACTGCTCCTCTGTGTCAGTCTGACAAATCATCCTGTTTTGTTTTCTTTATTGCATTTTATAGCAGCACCTGAAATTATTTTCTGTTTATTATCTTTTCCTCAGAATATATGCTCCACAAGAATAGGCCTGTGCATGCCTTGTTCAGTGCCAGGCCTCAGTACCTAGAACAGAGCCTCCCCGATCAATGTGGAATGATGAGAAGCATGGCTCTTCCTTAATTTCCTCATCTGTAAACTGGAGAAAATGCTTTATAGGCCGTTAGGAGTAAGTGAGGGAACCTAACAGCTGTGTGAGGGACATACAGGCGTTGTGCATGTGAGGCCACCAGCCCGTGGTCAGGGTAAGGCTTGGGGTTTGTGACCATCCTCTAAGGGGTTTACAGTTGTGACAGGCCACCCTAACAAGAAAGACACTTCTTCTGTTGGACCATTGGCTTGCAGTGGGATGGAGGCTGGAAAAGGCAGCAATTTGCCAAAAATTACACACCTGCTGAGGTCTGGGACCCAGGAGCTGTACCCCATCAGCAAGATCTTCTAAGCAGCCCCGATAAGGCATCCTGACTCATGAAGGAGAGAATGGAACCCTTCTTGCACCCGTGTCCCTCTGGAGAAATCCCTCCCTGTCCTCCCTCTCAGGCCACCTTTATCCCATGCTCAGCCTCACGCTTCTCTGATCGTCCTTCCTGCCCTGTTGCTTCCACTGGAGCACGCGAACCCCTCCTTTCGATATCCCCCTCTGACCTTTCTGCTGGGGCTGGGGATGCCAGCCAGTACAGGGGAGTCCATTCTCTTACCTGTCACACCCGTGCCCTTGAACTTCTGCACGTAACGTGAGGGGAGGAGCAGATCATCACCAGGCTGTTGGTGATGATTTTTTGGTAAGGAGGTATATGCCCTCGGGAACATTCAGATTAAAGCCAAGAACTCCTTGCTGTCAGAGTCCGGTGTGGAGAGGGGCCGAGGGGTGTCACCGCCTCACCTGCTGCAGACACAGCACTGGGAGAGCACAGAAGGGGAGACCAGGCTCCGATGGACTGCTCCCCAGGGATCCTAGTTGGGTCTTTGGCACGTGCCAGGAGGTGCCCCTGGCCTGGCTGGGAGTCTGTGTGAATGGCTATGATGCGGGCTGTGGTGCCAGGTGCAGGACCAGGTACTGGCTGCCTCTCAGCTTTCCACAGACTTGCATCTTCTCCTCTGGGATGATTCAGGGGGAGGAGATGCATACGGGGAGGGGTTAGAAATGGAATTCCTCACAAGAGCAGATTTACTGGCCTGGACTAAAGTTCAGTATAAGGATTTTAGGACAAGAACTGCCGGTTTAGCCCAGATTCCACCCCACCCCC